AACATAAAATTTGTCTGGATCCCCTCGCATATCGGCATCAGCGGTAACGAGGAGGTTACCATCCTTGCAAAAACCACCACTGAGGTAAACTTGCTTCCGCCCCCTCTCGTACATTATATGGACATGTTTTGCGAATACAGAGCCGACGCCTTTCAGGCATCTGAACGCGAAAATATTATTAAGGGCCGAGACAAGGGAACTCTGTATTTCCAGTTAATGCATGCTTCGAAAAGGCGTCCTTGGTTCCATAGACTTGGGCTTCCCAGATCATTCATTGTTACGATCAACAGAATGCGCTCCAACCACCACAGCCTCAGAGAATCACTGTCCCGCAAAGGCATAGTGGACAGTCCGGGGTGTGGGTGCGGCTTTGAGGAGCAAACCTTAAATCACGTCGTCTGGAGCTGCGATAGATACAATGCTCAGAGAAAGGACATGATAGAGAACCTCAGAAAGGCAAGCCTGTTTCCGCCGTACAATATTGAGAGTGTAATAGCAGGCCCCAACATCGAAGCCTGTTTGATTATCGTCGAATATCTGAATATGTGTGACGTGCGAGTATAGGCTATGTATGTGAGAGAGATAGAGATCGTAAGGCGTAATAACTCAAGACTCATAATGTAATAATAATGTAACTTTTCCTTATAATTTTAATATAATTATTCATGTAACTTCAATGTAATTTTTTTCATGTAAGCTTAGTGCAATTTTTTCAGGTAATTTTAATGTAATCCATTCATGTAAATTTATGTAATTTTTCCATATGGAACCGTTTTATGTATGTATCCACACACTGTATGTATACAGAACGTTTAAATGCTCAATAAAGTCAGTGTAAATGTCTCGCATGAGGCCTAAACACTTTAATATAAAAAAAAAAAAAAAAATACGTAAATATTCGGTACATGAATATTTAAATACCCAGCCAGTCCACAGATTTTGCCTTGCTTACCTGAGCGTACAACTTGGTTTCGTCTCGTAGTCTATGTGTTTATATAGTTGATAAAATTTTGTTCGTATACTGAGTTACGCAAAGAGTCACTAAACTGTCAGAAACTTTAGCCTCTGTGCTGGATGTAATAATACCTTCCATCCAAGTTGTGGGCTTAACTACACTACTGCATTGTCTGCTAGGCTCTGTTGCAAAAGGAGTTTTCTCGGCGATCTCGACATCATGGCTACATTACCTTGATGACGGCTTAAAATTCAATTATTCTGAGCTAGCTCTATTCATTAAAAAACCAGCGAAGCAGAATTTGAGCTAAAAAATGCATCGTAGAAAAATTGCTGTATCTCAGCGAATCTTGCGAATTTTTAACTTCTGAAACCGGCGTTGAAAAGGTGAGAAAAAACCTATCAGATAGTTTCATGCAATTTTTTCCATAGTTGATTCTACTTAGCCATTTCCTGGAAGAAACTAATACACTTTTCGATTTTTCAATTTTTCGTACTGTCGTTTTTTGGGATAAAGTTGTATTTTTCTGCATTAAAATAATTTCAAAGTGTATGCTTATTTATACCATTGGATTTGTTATAAAAAATCCTAAATTTTGGTGGTGTCAACAAATTTTCTAGATTTTTTTTGTTCATTTGTCACTCGCTCGAAAATAAACTTTGCGGAATTTGCGAAAAAGAACGATCGAAAAAGTGTATTTTTTTGAATGAAATTGTGCTTCTAAGTCAAAACTGACTGCAGCATTCGATTCTGCAGACAAAAACACATAAGAAAATGTATTGTCAAGATTATTTTTACACTCTAAACAGAGTTTGAAATAAATCGAATTATAGCCCTATTTTGCTTCTTTTTTGGAGCACGTTTTTAAACTTCAAAAATTCATCGACACCATCTAAAATCATTTTTTTGAGTTCTAGTTTACGGTAAAATTCATTTTAAGCCTCAAACTTTCTGATTCCGATGGATCCCCCGAGACACGAAAAATTTTTGAAAAAGTGGACCACCCTAATGTACAGCTGTGCCCACGCGGGTCAGTGGGTCATAAACCGAGTTGCGCAAGTGCGTTAGGTCACGTATGTTGACGGTGACGTCACAACAGGAAAGTAGATGGGCAGAAATATTTAAAATTGTTTCAGGAGCAAATAGTACCGGTGATACAGGACATTGCTGTCGATGATTTTCCTGAGGTTTGGTTTCGGCAGGATGGTGCCCCTGCTCATTTTAAAGCGATAGTCAGGCAGTACTTCGATGAAGTATTTTATAATCATCGGATTCGTAAAGAGGGACCATTGAGTGGCCAGCCAAATCGTCTGATCTGACTCCACTGGATTTTTTCTTTTCGGGCTACATAAAAAATAAAATTAATGTTAGCAAACCTGGAGATTCAACAGATCTTAGGAAAAGAATTGTCCATAAATGCGCTGATATATCACCTGAAATTATTAGAAGTTTTATTGAAAATGTGTACGTTCGCCTTGAAATCTGCCAGAAGGTTTATGGAGGACATTTTGAACACAAATTGTAAGGCGTTCTGAATTCGGAGTTAAAATAGTTTCTTAGTTCACTGTAGCTTTTTTGGTAGCTGATTTCGATTTTAATTTTAATTTTTTATATTGTGGTGAGAGCCTTTTCAATACCAATCAATGCGTATTGATTACTCCTTATGCCATGAACACTTCTATTGATACAGGAAAACCTCGGTATTCGCGGTATTCCTTATTCGTGGTTTCGCCCAGTCGTGAGTTTAAAATTAATACCACGTTTCTACATTCACAGCTCTGATTCGCAGATTAGTGGATTGACACATGATTTATGGCTTGTTCGCATCTATCAATTTTGTTGTTGTAAGATTTTGTCTTGATTAGAAACTTAGAAGTTAGGACGAAAGCTTAGAAATAAGTGATGAATATTTTTTTCATTAAAATCATTGCTCCAGCAAAAGAAATCTCCTCGCAAAAATTCGTTGAAGCCTCAAGATAACTAGGCCATGGAAATAGCACAAAAGTTGAAAATTTTACAACTTTTAGACAGCAGTAAGAAAGATGCGTCGATTGCAAGTAGATATGTAGTCAACGAGTCTACAATTCGATCAATCTGCAGCAACAAAGACGAAATTTGAGCAAGTGCAGCAAAGTTGGGCCTCCATGCTAAACTATGTAAAATCACCAGATTATAATAATTGTTTAACAGTGAATTGTATTGTATTTTATTTTATAATAGAAGAAGAAGTGTTGTAATTACTTTTATTTTTCGTTTTTAACAAAAAATTTCACCACAATTAGACTTTTTCCAACTCTCTGGAACGGAACCCCCATTTTACATAAAAATCAATGCTTCAGTATTCGCGGTTTCGTAGAAATAGAGGAAGCTGTGAGAAAATGGTTTATTAGCCTAAGAGCTCAAAATGTCAACATTTATGGTACATATTATCAAGCAAAAGGAAAAATTATTAAACATTAAATATTTCAAAGCAAATACTGGTTAATTCGATAAGTTAAAATAGCGAAATAATGTTGTGTTCAATAAAGTAGTGAGTGCTTAGTGTGAACTATTAATCAGCCGCAACTTGGATGACATAGCTCAATTGAATTTTAAAAGAATACGAGCCAAGAAATATATTTAATGCAGATGAAAGAACTTTTTTAAATTCGAATAGTATTTAAATATTAAACAAATACAAATACTTGCGTTTACTATAATTCAAAATTTTTTTGATTTGGCATCTCTTTGACTTTGTTAACTCGAACTTCGTTAATTCGAAGTTACGGATTTTGAATTATAAAAAGTTTTACTGTACTTGTATTTAAGTAAAATTATGATTTAACTTATAAATTTACCTGGTATACAAGTCTTATTTTGACATTCAAATTCATTTTTTTTACAATCATAATGCTGACATTTATCAAGTGATTCATCTTCTCCATTCAAACAATCATCTTCTCCATCACAAATCCAACTAGGATGAATACAAGTTATTTTATCTTTACAGTAAAATTCATTAATTGAACAATAAATGTTTTCAACTTGGTTTTGACTACAATTGAGTTCATCGGAGCTATCAAAGCAGTCGTAATCTCCATCACAAATCCAAGTTTCAGCTGAACAATTTCTTGTCACACACGTACTACCATTATCATGACATATATTTATACATTTACTTTCATCACTGTTATCCCCACAATCATCGTCGTGATCGCATATCCAATTTTTCTGTATACAATTATTATTGGAACAAGTAAATTCATCTGGACGGCAAGATGTATCTGGAATTGAAAGGTTTTACTACAATAAAAGTAAAATAATTCGTGAAATAAAATAGGTTATGTAAGTTCTTACGTAATTTCTTACGTAAATCCTTACATTCGATCATTAGTCAATTTTCTTACGTAAGAACTTACGTAAGTTCTTACCTGAACTTTTTTACACAGTAAAATATTATTTTTTTAAAAAACTTAGGAATTGTCAGATATTTTCGAAATTATTTACGTTATAATTTAGAGTGTATTTACTTTGAAACTTTAAAGAAGTGAAAAAGTTTCCCAGAACCTGGGATTCAACCTGTGATCAGTCGCTTAAGAGTCCAGCGCCCTACTACTTGAGAAATTCATTGAATATAGAAGCCCAATTGGAAAAAGCCTGAGCAAAGCCTGATCTGATCATTCGGCTGGTACCCCTATTGAAAATAAATACGTATTTTCGATACATATCGAAAGTACGTATCGAAAGTACGTATCGAAAATACGTAAAAAAGATACGTATCGATTTCGAACAACCTAAAATACGTATCGAAAGAACATATCGTAATTTCGTATTTAATTTACGTACTGCTAATATTGGATTCAATTACAGACAGATTAGGATTATAGGATGAACACTAAATAGGAGATACAAATGACGAGTCCCATAAATTTATTTTTAATTTTTAAAATTTATCGATATATTTTACATGAAGATTTTTACAAATTACATATTAATGTCATGTAACATTTGCAAGAAATTACTATGAAATAAATTAAAAAATGACAATTTTTTTTATCCATTATAACTAATAATAATACAAATTTGGTACAGGGCCAACATAACTTATATTTTTATCAATTGAAATAAAAACACAAACTTTTGCTATGTCAGCAGTTTTTATTGCAAATATATTTTCAGAAATTTCAGTTATTTTTTTAATGCTCGCTTCTCTATCCGGATAAATATTTTCGATATTTATCATGCGTACCAAAGTAAATTCTAGCCTATTTATCGGATCTACAATGAAATCAAGTATTTGTATAAAAGTACCATCGTGAGTTATGGCGTACGAGTTATCAGACCTTTGACGATTTATTTTACTTGAATTAAATAGACACCTATCCTTCACCATTTTACGATAAATGCGGCTTTCATTCGATATATTTAACTCTTGGATCCATTTGGTTGCTACTTTGTAATTTCGTCCAAAATATCGAGCATTTAAAAATTTATAGGTAAGTTTAGAAGTTTTTTTCTGCAAATGCGTTATATAATCGGAAACCCTGGAATATGGTTTGGAGAAAATATGTTTTTTTAATACTAAATTACTTTGTGCCATACTCAGAGCTCTGCATATTTGAGGGATAACGCCCTTAGCGGCTTGAATTTTTTTTACAAGTTGTTCGTTGCCGTTTTCAAATGTGTATCCGCTATGAGCCCACAATGGCCCCCAGTTTGCTACACTTGATACCAAGTGTAACAACTGGTGAACATTATAAGTCATAGCGGCTTTAGGGTATATGTTTTCGATATTCTGGACAAAATCTATTAACAAATTTTCAGCCGTTTCAATTTCTGAGTAAGTTATATTTTTTTGTAATAATAAATAGCTAGCATGAACCAAAAGCATCCAATGTTGTGCATATTCACGTAATCGAGGAAACATCAAGAGAATGGGTAAACTGTAGTATAATAACCAGTTTTCCCACTCTCTTGACTTCCACTTTGTCAAATCATTAATCGATCGAGAAAGACGACGAATTTGATTTGGTACTTTAATTTTAATCAAAACTTCATCAATTTTTTCGATTTCTTCGTGTGTCAATGAATAAGGCTTATTTTTTTCTTTAAACCAGTAATTAAAAAATTGTGCTGCAATTCCCAAATTCAGACAGTGCATACTGTCAGGTACAAAGCCGTTAATGATATCCAAATGTTTCATATTTATCAAACAAGATGGTCTTTTGACTCCAAAAATAGGTTTTTTAGAATATAAGCTTTGTTCCATCCAATCCACTGTTTGCAGCATATTTCTCCCAGGAATTTCTTCCTCTAGCCAAGGATATTTTACACACCCTTTCTTTTTCGATGCTACATAAACCCCAGGATGTAGACACCACCCACAACCAAAATACCCATTGTATTGTATGAAACCTTGCATTTGCGGTCTCGCAGCTGAATCAACGCAACAACATTGAGTGTAAATTTTTATTTGTCGTTCTACGTTATCAATAATACAAGAAACACCATCATTTGCTAAACGGTTCATATAATCTACAAATGGTTTTAAAAAAATATTCATATTAGGCTTGCCTTTTCCGAACCAAAGGCCACATACGAAGGGGTGGGCGGTGCGTACATCATATGGTAACTCATTTATAATAAATTGAATAGGCCAAATAGAGTAATTACTACTTTCAAAAATTGGAGAGCCATCGCTATTCATTACAGTAGTTACATAGTCAAAATTAGAAAATTCTTCATCTTGTGACGATAAAGTTTCTGTAAGTTTTTCGTACATAACTCCATCATAGAAATCGCTTATTTCATTTACCCCAATTTGCTTTTCTTGCCTCAATTTAACAATGTTTAAGTAATAATTTTTATTTTCTTGAATTAAATTGACTATCTCTTTATCTACGTTTAGAATTACAAAATAACTATTATAAGTTGATTCTTTAAAATTAATTTTTACTTCACACGTATCACAATAAATAAATTTATCAGACCATTGAAAAAGACCTAAATATTTTTCACAAGTGGGACACACCCCATGATAGTTCATAATACTAGTGTCATTAAATAATTTATTTATCAAATATCTAGTATCTGGCAAAGAAATATTTCCAAGAAAACAATTCAACATTTTCAGCAAATCTGCAATTGCTGATTGAGCTAAGTTGTATGTTAGCGAATACTGCAACACTGCTGCTAATATCTCGGATTTACTTACAACATCTGCTTTTATTGTATCGTCCATATCATCATTTTTTAATAGTTTTTCTAAATGTGATATTGAATCGTCTTCACTCGCCGGCCTATCAAAAACAGACGAACAGTCAAAAAAAGAGTCCTCTTCTTCACTGTCGCTTTCACCATCAGAATAAAATTCGTGACAAATATCCTGCATCCATTTATCCTGGAAGTTATCGTCACCAAATTCTTCCAATCCATAAAAATGCGTGGAATTTAATGAAGAAAAATCAATTTTCTGCATAAAAATGTAATAATATTTATATAATTTACCGCGTAACAATATTTATATAATATTAAATGATCAGTGAATATGATTTTACCTCTTCAGCGTAAACTGATCGTAATTCAGTGTTGAATAATGGATAAGTATTTTGGGTGTCATTAGAATTATGAACTTCATTATCGTACCTACTGCAGAACAAATAACTTGATCCAATGGAAACTTCCGATGAAATATTGGCTGATTGATGCATAGAACTTTCATTCTATTGAAGAAATATTTATTTTTACACTTAGGCATTTGTATAATATTAATAAAAAAGTATAAGCAGCGTCTATCTGTATGACAGATGTAGTGATTTTTTAATAAATCATTAAGTAAATCAAGAGCCCTGCGTACTAAGGAAATTCCATTAAGAACACATTTTTATAGTATCCATTTTTGAAAAATTATGTATAATAAATAATTCTGTACAATTATGTAGAAAAACAGACATAATAGACTCCCGCTTAAAACCATGTGAAAAGATTTGTAAGATCTTCTCCGATAATCAAAAATAGTTTAAATTTTGTAGCCGTACTGGAGACTTACAGCTTAAATTTATCCATGCTACTTGTCTAAACATTCAAAGTCAACGAGTAATCTAATTATATAATTACCAAGTCCATGTTTATGTAAATAAATTTTTCAATTGGCAACTTGGACTCAGCCGTTTGAACATACAACAGTATATAAATTAAACAATTTTACTATCTGGAAGAGTTTTGTTGCCATAACTATACATTTTTAAATTATCGATTGAAACATGCATAGTTTTATTCAAATATATTAACTCTTCTCAAGTATTTCAGGTGCAACAAGGCATAAACCTACATTTCCTCCAGAATGAGAGATTAAAATATGTCAGAGATTATAATACGTCTCTCTACACGACATGTTAAATGACAGGCTTTTGATTTGGAAAATAAAATTAATATCCAAACTGCCAAAATAGTATGACAATTTATTTCTAATATTTAAACTACTACTACTACTACTACTACTACTACTACTACTACTGCTGATGCTGCTACTACTTTGTACTATTAATATTATTTTAATTTCAAGATATAGTACTCATAAGATATTTGAATATTTGTCAACAGGATCAGCAGGTGAGAAATGGTTTGAAGTTACATGAATTTTCATTAGGAAAATCTAAAAAAACCCCCCTAAATATAGCTAAAGGTTTTAATCCTATAATTTTTAATGGAAATAAATTAGTTAAATGTATGCCACCAATACAGTATTTTAATGATGTGAAACGTAACAAATGTAAGTGTTTGTTCACTGGTAACTAGAATAAATTTGTTCTGTGCTGTACAAAAACTCATATAAATTGTGTTCTAACATTCCTTATACAAAGTCAGCTTGGGGGAAAAAGGGTGAAATAAATATCCATATAAAATAATACTACATATGTACCAAATATATCGTACAGATAGTCTAAATGAATAGCATAAAACAACCATAGAGTAAATTATACCTGCATTTCAACGTCAGTATCATCTGTACTGTTTTCATGAATATTCATCATTTCATTTCTTTGGATGTGGTTATTGTTTTCATTATATCTGGTGGTGCGAGGAACTTTGCTATCTTTACTTTCCACATATCCAAAGTATCGAGGCATATTTCGCTCTTGAAAAATTTAATGAAATCCTTGCAATACTGTAAAAAGCATTCAAGGGCTTAAATATTTCACGGTTCGATCACTCCAACATAAACTTTAACCTTTAAACTGTATACCACTACCAGTTTAAATTAATTGGAATAAATCTTACCTAATTAATAACTTTTATTTATCGCACGTGGTGTTTGAATTATTTTTAATTATTACAACGACCAGATAATGTGTACTTTTTTAAATTTGCCGAGATTTATTACTTTTGGCTACCGCACGAGCTTGTTAAAGAAGTATATTAGAACAACGCCAATAGTTTGCTACTCCCATCTATGTACGTTACAGTGTGAAGATTTACGTCGTCAACCGCTTGACTCCGATATCGACTCCGTTCACGTTACAGACCTGCAGCCCGCTCTGTGGCTCAGGCCACTACTACATTACAGTGTGAAGATTTACAATCGCGTCGTCAACCGCTCGACTCCGATATCGACTCCGTTCACGTTACAGACCTGCAGCCCGCTCTGTGCACTGTGCACTATGCTCTGCCTGACCGTTGCATTTTTCCCTCCAATATTGTCTGACTGAAGTGTCGCTCAAAGCGGAGCAACCATAACCGAGACTGTTTTACCGCGAACTCCGAAGACCGGTAACGAACACTGACTTTAGTCAAATTTATACGGCGTAAGAGTTCGTTTTTTTAACATTTTGTTTTCAAGTGCTCGTTATAACATAATCATGAACGACAATAAAATAACACACGTAGCTGTGAGATTTTTCGATGAGAAGAAAATGGGTTCTAAAATTCATTACATTGTTGTCGTTCCAATTTCAAACATAAAAAATTTTAAAGTATTAGAAAAATATGACAATCATCCATTTTTGGTTAAAAAACCGTTAAACAAGAAACAATGTGGGTCCCTGCTCAAATATTGGCCATTGGTTGTAAGTTATTTGGATCTACATTAACAAATAATTTGACTTTTAAACTTTATATAGTTGTTCATTAGGCTAAAGTTTTTTTCAAACCACCTAATTGACACTGATTTATACACTATAATGACTATTATCTGATCATATTTGCGACGATGAAAATTTGATATCTGTTCAGTACTCACAGACTGATTTATTTTAACTTAATTAAACATTATCTTTATTAACATTACAGTGGAGAGTGATAATCTCGCTGAGAGTAAGGCTGGTCGATTTCATTTTGACAATCTAAATCTAACATCTGCCTTGCAACGTATACTGGAAAGAAATGACGTTTCAGACACTGATTTTGATAGCGAAGACGATACTCAAGGCGAAGGTGTCGTTAAAGAAGTTGAACAAACAGAAAAGAAAGAAATAGGCTCTAATTCTAATAAGTTGGATGCAAAAAAGGTATTGAACCAGGCAAGTTAACAAGATTTATAAACTACAAAGTTTTAATAACTCAGACTTGATAAAATTAATAATATTTTTAACCTTTACACTCTTGTTATTTGTTTTAGATGAATGTCGATAAAAAAATATTATCAACATTCTCCAGGTCACTGGATCAATCAATAATGGACGAGTATAGAGAGCAAACCCATGTACAACAGAAATCATCACTTTATAAATCTTACAATGTAAATAATTCCAGGAGCTTATCAGTCAGTAAAGGTATAAATTTATTCAATTTTTCAATTTACTAAACAGATCAACTATTTATCATTGCATAATTTATTTTACTATTGACTATAAAATTTAAGTATAAATTGTGTTGAATTGTAAAAGATTTGATTTTATTATTTGAGACTGTGTATTTGCAGTCTAAATTGTATTATTCTTTTTTTATAAATTATTATGTAAATTATATATTTTCAGATGGTATGAATTCTACACCTTGTAAACGCAAACTTCAATATGATCGTAATGATGCAGAAGGTTCTTTAAATCATATTGAAGATGGAATAGACAAATTGAACGACACGCAGGTAAAATAAATAAATAGTGTTGTACTAAATAGTTTCAAGACTTTCTGTCTAATAATTGTGTTGACTAAATTTTAGGTTGACAGCATCTCTCCATCTGTAAATCACTTGGTCCAAAAAAGGACTACAGATATGGAGGGGAAAAAAAGAAAACTTACTGAACAAAAGAAATCCCAGGTGAAAAATAAAATCAATGCATCAATCATGGATAGATATAGAAAGGATGCCTTTTTACAAGAAAAACTGTCACCCACTAAACCTTCTGGAAGTGGACTAAATACATCATCATCAGCATCTCCTGTTATCACAGGATCTTTAGCTAAAAATTATACATATGAAAACACATCACCAGTCAACAATTTTTCAGCTATGCCCAATGCAGCCAGCACAGCATTAAAAAAGCAAAGTAGCACTCGATACAACAGCAAATCAGCAAACATTTTACTGGGCACAGGTAATATGATGTATAATTTTCTCAAGTTTGCATTTGTCACATCTACTTACTGCATGTTTCAATAAAAAATAAATTTTTTCCTCTGATATTTGTTTCAAACTTTCAACAATCTCAGATAAAAACAAAGGTTATCTTTTGAATCGCATGTAGATCATGCTGAGCATTTTCTACTGTGTTGTGAAAGCCTATTCTACAATGACTTTGAGAGATGTACATGCAGTTGTCTACAGTGCCATGAACGCGTATGCAGTAAAGTTTGTACTTTAATTCATAATTTTTTTTACAGAGAACATTTTGCATCCTGATAAACATTTAGAATGTATGGATGGGATAGAGACGTTCATAAGAGAATGTGAGGAAGATTTGGAACGAGAAGAAAGAGAGTTACTTGCTGCTAGAGAGAAAAAATCAAAAAAAATAGTTGGGAAACGCATATTAAAAAGAAAACAAAAAAAAAAGGACCCGAATGAAGATGTGACAATGTATAAGCATTTAGCCACCAAAAAAGATTATAAAAAATTCACAGAAATGAACAAGAATAATGAAAAAGTAAAATTATTTGAAAATTTTATTTATTTAATATTCTGTATTTAAAATTTATATTGAATTATTAACTTGTCAAATTTTACAGGTAAAAATGATACACTTGGAATGTGGCATCAATGTAACATTTGAATGTTTCAATAAAGCAAAAAAATCGAAAACTCCCAGCGTCTTGGTTCGACACCTTAGTCGTGGAATTTGGGGTGCTTTTGCTTTACAAAACCGAGCAATTGATTTGCCAAAATGTGCGCAGTTGGAAAATAGGTCTCCTCGAAAATCTTTAACTCCACGAAAAAAGGCTGTTTTAAAAAGTAGGCTAATTTTTTAAGTTATTTGATTTTCCTTTTTCATTTTTTCACATTGGCAAATCAAAATTTTCTTTTCTTTTATTACAGGTGTTTATTTAGATTTTCTGTCCAAACGATTCAAAGGGATGTACGCAGAAGAGAAAAATAGGTGCATGTCTTACTTGAGTAAATTTATAAATTTTTTAAATACAAGTAATCAAAATGATTCTGAAAATGAAGATGAAGAAAGGCAAGATATTGATGATATCAGCAGTACAGAAGATGAAGCTGCAGAGGAAAATGTTTAATTATTATATTATAAACGTTTAATTAAATGTATCTTTTTATAATTTATTTTATAGTAATTTCTTGCAAATGGCATAAGTATGTAATTAGTAAATATCTTTATGTAAAAGTATATTAATATATTTAAAAAATTAAAAATAAATTTATGGGACTCGTCATTTGCATCTCCTATTCAGTGTTCATCCTATAATCCTAATCTGTCTGTAATTGCATCCAATATTAGCAGTACGTAAATTAAATACGAAATTACGATATGTTCTTTCGATACGTATTTTAGGTTGTTCGAAATCGATACGTATCTTTTTTACGTATTTTCGATACGTACTTTCGATACGTACTTTCGATATGTATCGAAAATACGTATTTATTTTCAATAGGGATCAAGCTAGTGATCTGGCCCGTAAAGCGGGGATAATCATGTTCTAATCGGGTCCGGATCTTGTCCGGAAGATAGTGTGAACACGAACTCTACTACGCTATTGAATCGTAAAAATGTAGCAAGAAAGTTTATATTATTTGTAAACACCGTGTACATGTTCACAGTGTCAGTTGTCGATGAACCACGAGCTTTCATTTTGGTCGCCGCTCGCCGCCTATTCCAGCTGCCGCCTTACGCGGTGCGTAGCGTACTGGAAAATCCGGCCCTGAATTAATAAAGGCATTGCGCTTGACATTAATATTTGAATAATCATGAATTAACCTGAGAAATTTTCAAGAATATTTTTCATTCTTAGCGACCAAGAGTTTATGGTATTGCTAAAATTATTCTTACTGCATTTGGACGAAAAGAATTCTGAACCATTTCTATAATTATAATAATAGACGAAAAATTGAATATATGTCGTTTGAAAAATAAAATAAAATTAGTTTTTTGGAAATCTTATAGTGACATACATTTCTCTGAAAAATGATTGGAAGCGATACAAGTCTTGATGAAAGTTTCGATGAGGTTTTGATAAAATTAATAGTGACGATGAAGTCTGTTTAGATAAAAAACGTGTATCTGTGAATGCTAATGCTTTGAAAGAATGGTCGTGCAAAAACAATATTAATCATACAGCATTCGATATATTGTTGAAATTTACTCATAATATAAGACTCATATATAAGACAATGGTGTATGGTGATAAATTGAACCAATGATGTTGCACTAAAAAACAGTGATTTATTTATTATTATAAAATATTATTATATTATTATACAACTATTTACAATTTATACAAGCTCACCTAAAAAACAGTGAAACGACAATTTAAGTTCAATTCTACCTCCTCTCAATTTTTCAAATATTATTCTCTCCAATACTGTTTCTTCAACTGTTATTATAACTCTGATACCTATTTACAATTAAGCATTAACAACAGCCGACACTCGAGCACGCGACATGCGCAGAACGTGCGAGACTTATTTGAGAAATTATAATTTCTTTACATTCATACCGTATTATAAATATGAATTGAAAAACAATCCGTTCGCTCAAAACATACAGACTTTTGAGCTACTAATGGCGCTACAATTACGTCGTGAAAAGTTATGTTTACCCTATCCTCTGGGCAAGGTCTGGGCCGGATAAGATAGTGATTACACTCGTGAAATTTCCCTAACTTTGTCCTGATCCGGGAGCTCATTTGAAGATCCGAGCTGGATGTTAGCCTGAGAGGCTTTTTCCGATCAGGAAGGTTAACAAAAAAGTTACATTAATGAAATGGGTGTATGCAATTGTTTCATGGGTTTTTATCCAACTACATTTATATTAACATAAAATAAAAATTAGTTGAACAATATAATTATTAGTTGAAAATCTCGCTTTCGCCCTCACTTTGGATAGGCACTAGATTAGGATCCGGACTCGGCGATGACTTTCTTCAGTTAGTCGTGACATTTTTGTGATAATGACGACCCGGGTGGTCGTTATCAATGTCAAAGAGGAGTGAATTAATGTATGACTGCCCTTAAGTAAATTAATTAATAGAATATAAAATAATAATCAATCATATAACCAATCATAATAAAATCTTTCAGTTAGTTAAAGTAAGAATAAATAATTATAATAATAATAATAATAATAAATAAATAATTATATAATTGTAAGATAAAGCAGTGATTAGTATAAATGGTGCATTATTTCAAAAGCGTGTTATTGTAGCTATTAGAAAACTTTAAAAAAATGAAAACTAAGACGGTGAAACCTTTCATTTTATCGAATTCTACCTTCCGCAACTATAAAATTTCCACCAATAAAGAGCATATTGATTTGCCAGCCGGATAAACATACAAAATTTCCCCTCCGTGACCTGTCTTGAACTCAGAATTGATTGTTTTCACTCATTAAACACATTTTTACAAATATCCAGCAAAATAGTGGTACATGGGCCCTATTCTATACATCCTAAAGAAAGTTTTTTTTTGCATCACTCGTCATCTTAGATAGTCTCAAAAAAATCGTTCGTAAGTAACAAATGTGTCCTTAAATAATGTGAAAAATCACATCATTCCAAATATAGGGCCAGTAAACGTGCTAGACAATCATTTTGATCTCTCCAACGATATGAGGGTCATCTTTCAGATCTAAGGTACTCGATTTTCACCCGTAGAATATTCAAATCTTCATTGCAGCTTCGCTATAATAATAGTTGCACACGAAAATCGTAATAGTAAAATAAAGTGTCCCCTCCGTGATCGATGAGTTTTTCAGCTAGCAATTTCTGTTTTTGACTCTGGTGGCATAAAAACGTTCGTTTTTACAAACAATTTTTGTGGATGATCCGAAAAAAAGTTTCAACTTTATTATTGTCGTGAAATTTGATAAAAGTGCGATTTGTCCCCTCCGTGACAATTTTTCATGTTTGCAATAAGAAAATTGCAAAAACGTAAATATTCCACGAAAAAAAAAAGAATCAAGTGTCAGAAACTACGGGGGTCCGGAAAAATTAAACTCAAAATAGAAGAAAGTAAGTTTTTCGATTTTTCCAATATTGCCCATTTTACCCACTTCAAATATCACACTTTGGATATAATGCACCAAATACTGTTTTATCAGGTTAACTCGAATTTGAATGAAAGGCTTGAATACTTGACACAAAGAAGTATAGAGGCGTGACAATCAAAATAATAGAAAACCTCTCACTTTTGAGAATTAATGATCAACTCATAGAAAAATGATCGATCACTTACTTTTTTCTTCTCCGGCTTCCAAAGTAGACAGTTCTAAGAATTAAGCTCTGCTTATTTGTATCGAGAACAGGTACTCTATTCAATTGAACAATGTAAGTTCCGATTATAATAAGTATGATGATTAGAATATATTCATTCTTTCCATTTGTGTTCTAATACAAGGATACTTTTCATTAATTATTTTACTTCTACATAAAATGTTCTTCACAACGTAAGTCACGGTTTCAGAGGCAATGAACATTCTGGTCTTGCCTCTGAAGAAATGATTCCTATTACCAAATATACTACAAACTACTTAAGAGAGAATAATGAACTAATCAACAATTCCTGAATTATTGTGTCTTAATTCGGCAGACTCAAAATGATCGGTTATCAGCCCAGTAACCGTGCATACATTGCGCTGTGTGTGATCGTGCATTGTGTTGTTTTAAGCTCAAACAAATGAAAGTTTTTTTCATTTGCAATCGCTTATAACTCGATAAATGTGCATTTTCGAGATGAATCCCAAGTGACATTTTTTTCTTAAAATTTTTCGTAGAACACCAATAAGAATGTTTAAAAATCCATATTCGACCATTTTGGTAATTTGTCTAAACAAATGGGTATTTAACCATATGGTACCACTCGGAGGAAAAATTAACCACCAAATTTGTTTTCGGTGGATCAAAATCCATTAGAAACACCTTATTCCAACCATCCACCAATGGTTTGCTACGAGAAGGTAGCCTTCTGTCGGAGTAAATGAAGAATATTTTTGTTGCACATCACCTTCTGGAATATGTCGAAGGCATAAAAATAAAACCTGAATAAAATACAACAAATACTGCTAATAATCAAGCTGAAGTGAAAGCGTGGACGAAGTCAAACACCGAAGCTATGTCCATTCTCTCTACTGCCATGGAATACTCACAACTCGAGTACCTGATAACGTGCTCAACAGCTGCAGAGATGTAGAAAAAATTGTCTAGCATACATGAGCAAAAAAACGGCTACTAATAAACTGACTCTTACCACGAAATTCCACGAGTACCGCATGTCTCACAACGACACTACATCGCAGCACATTAGCAAGGTCGAGAATATGGCGAGTCAATTGAAAGACATCGGAGGGGGCGTATCGGACGTTATGATAATAGGAAAAGTATTGGGATCATTGCCAACTAAATATTACCCTTTCATCTCCACCTGGGAGAATGTTCCTAAAACAAGGCAAATATTAGACGACCTCAGAGAACGCCTTTTGAGAGAGGGGGATTGCCAATGAGACTCCAAGGACTTCAACCACGCCTTGGAATCAATGAGCACATCCAGCGACAAACCACAAGAAAAACTGCAAACCAGTGAAGGTAAAAAAAGCACGTGATTTTTACTTTTTGTAAAAAAACCTGGTCATCTCGCGAAATGCTGCTATGTCGAGAAGCGTTAAAATAAAATTACAAATAAAAATAATAGAGATGATGGCAATAAGCAGGAGCTAAGCGAAGGTACTCCGAATTACAGCTCGTTGATAACGCTCATCGGCGTGATGTCGTCATGTGCATTAGCTTCTCGCGAACAAACACGTTTGCTCCGAAAAAGATCGTTGGTTCTTAGGTAGTGGCGCTTCTTAGCATAGTAGCCATTGCAAAGATTGGTTTGTGGAACTCCTTCTGAGCAGTACCAATGAGTATGTTTACTTCGGAGACGGCACTAATTGTAAAGTCGAAGGACGCGGAAAAATGTTCATCAAGCGTCTTATCAGCGGAGAATGGTGTGATGGTGAAATCTTACCAACAAGCCCGAGACCTTATCTACGAGGTTTCTCGCCATTGATGCGTTAAAAATTTTTCTCCATGAGCGCTCGTTTCGAGGGAAAATACAATGAAATTTTTTCATAGAAATCTTTATTCATATGTTACATTTGGTACATTTTAATTTTAGTTCAATAACATTTTCTTAATTTATTAATTATCAACTTTATTTAAAACTCTCTAACTGTGAAATTTTGCATACTACTATTTATTATACTATTCTTTCTTTAATGACAAATTTTTTAAATTATTTATAGTGAAATTGCAGTTCTTGAAAATATAAACTGGGTTTTTAATATTTTTTTTTCCCAAATAAATAAAACGGGGGAAAATTTTCTTTTGAGTCATGATCATTTGCTTCTAATCTTTTCCTTTTTTGATTTTTTGTCACAATTACAGTCAAACACAATTCGTCTATCTCATCTTGAGTATTCTGGTGTTCTGAATGTTACGACAACTGAGGTGCACTTTATAAAAACATAAAACGCCAGAAAACACAAAAGAAGAAAAAATTTAACACGCTAAGTATACGGAAATGGCTCACGGAAACAGCTGTATCTCACTGAATAATCAAAAATTTGAAGTTTTAAAAAATTTAATGGAAAGGGGACAAAAAATCCTACCCGAAAATAAAATAAAAATTTTTTCGATTTTAAGCCCCCTTTGAGCCCTTAAACCATGATGTGTGTTAATGACGTTGGATGCTTTTCTTTGAATTGATTCTACCTCTAACGACTTGAGACATTTTTTTTAGGAAACTTTAGAACACGATTTTTATCAGCGTAAAAGTCAGTTTCTAGAACATCTTCATAGTCCTCTTGTGAAATAGACATCAAAGCATCTGAGTTGTCATCGAGAAAATCATTTGGATTTTTATAATGTGCCGTAATGGGTACAATTAAATTTTCATTTATTTTAGAACTGGCCCATTTTTTTGGCTTCTTGAATTGAAATGTAGATCCAATAAGTTCACTTGATGTTTTCTTGTTCTGGAGAGACTCGTTGATGTAACTTTCAGCCACCGTCGAGCTCTTCCACTCTCCAAGTCTTTTTTAGTGTGATTAAATCAGCTCCTTTGTCAGCTGTGATAGTGCCAGAGGTCCTCCTCAAAGCATGGCCAGTATATTTTTAGGTTGTTCCAGATCTAAATAAGTAGCAATATCCTTTAGAATTTTCTAGCCTCCTCGAATAAATATGCAAAATATTCTTCGGATTTTTCTCGTTCATTTGATAAAATTGTTATTGTATCAACTAACAATTCTTGTGCAGAATTCATATCATTCCAAGTTTTTTGAAGATAAAGGCTTAGTTACTGGGTACAATTCAATAAATTGGCAAGACAAACGATTGAAATGATAACCTCGCCGTTACACAATGACAGTCTCAAGGACTTGGCTTTTGCAGCTGTGTGCATATCCGTCCACGCTGCAATATGATCGTGCGTCTCAATAACTTTTCCAATGCAATCTCGAAATTGAATTACTCCATCATGCCGTTCGACTCACCTTGTTTCTCATAATCCACAAAGTTTATGCCCCATTACATTTTTTAACAAATGAGACCATTTGGCAGAAGCTGTAAAGAAAGCAATCTCGTCCTTTAAAGTGCCATCGACATTTCTTATTGCCTGTACATAATGTTGACGACTCGCCTCTTTGCTGAGTCGGAGCAACTGTTGAAATTTGTTAGTTACCGTGAGTTAAGTCAGAACAAGGGGAAGGTCACACACATGAACAAAAACTCAAGTCACTGTATACAATTAATAATAATATTTATTACTATAACTTTTGAAGTAGTATTTAATTGTTTTAAATTAATAAATAGAACATTCTTTGTCGCGTAACTCGGTGGACTTATCGTCGCTACGAGGTGATTAGTACAGCACGGTCAGGAGAATACTCGACGCGCTCACTCACCGCGAGTGCAAGAATGATTGTCTCTGCGACGCAAGCAGAGGACACGAGATTGGTCCTTGCATTTAGACGCGCGGCATTTTTAAATATTATTCGAGACTCGAACATAGCCCCCACCTTGCTGTCGCCAGCAGCAACAAAATAATACCGAAATCATAACAAAATATAATAAGAATATAATGAGTGTATAGTAAGTACAATAATATGTAATAGAAACAGTTTATAACATTTGGAAAGGAAATGATTATCAAAGCGGTAACATAAGGTGATGGTGGTAGTTGAGACTCTTGTTAAATCAGGTCACACTGCTTCTGGTCGTTTGAAGCTGCACTGGAGCCCTCGTCTTCTTCATCCTTTGGTTTTAGGGGGAGCTTTATCACTTTGGTGATTGATCGGACGTAGTCTCCTCGAGCAGTCGACACGGTCACTACTCTGACTAAGCCATCCCGGATGTATCTTTGAGATGCGGGCCAGCGGCCAAGTGGCAGGTGGACACAAATCATCGGCGACAAGAACAATATCGTCGACCTGGAGGTTCGGCGCTACGTTTTGCCATTTATTAAGCTGTCTATACTGATTTAGAACTTCTTTTCGCCACCGATTCCAGAAACTGTTGCGCATATTCGTGATGAGCTGCCATCGACGGTAAACGTTCACAAGGTTTGGCTTCACTTCCGTGGGCTCTGGTGCCGAGAGAAGTGGTATGCCGACGATGATGTGTTCTCGAGTGAGTGCTGGGTAATCAGTGGCGGAAGAGCCGAGGGCGCACATAGGCCGGGAGTTGAGACACGCCTCAATTTTTACCGCCAGAGTAGCCATTTCTTCATAAGTCAGGTGATTGTTACCTACCACTCTTTTGAAGTGGAATTTGGAAATGGAAACTTCGCACGGCCGATTCCCACACACCGCCGTGATGAGGTGCACGAGGGGGTATGAATTTCCACATCGTCCCTTGGGTGGCCACTTGGTTGATGATTCCTCCTGGCATCTGCAGAACTTCCCGAAGTCGGCTACCAAGCTCCTTCGAGGCCGCTTTGAAAGTTGTAGCGTTATCACTATATATGACTCTACACACTCCTCTTCGTCCTGTAAAGCGCGCATAAGCAGCCAAAAAGTCGTCCGTGGTAAGTCCTGTGACCCCCTCAATGTGAACAGCCCTTGTCAGCATGCATACGAAGATGCATATGTAGGCCTTCACGTATGTGCTGCTACCTCGAACTTTGGAGGCCCGTATTGAGAAGGGGCCGGCAAAGTCGACACCTGACACTTCAAATAGTCTAGCTGGTTTTACGCAGCAATCAGGAAGGGGGGCCATTTGTTGATTTTCTGGACGGGCTTGGTATCTGACACATGTAATACATTGTTGATATACCCCTCGAATCACTCGGAGTCCGTTCGTGATCCAGACCGACTGTCCGAGGTGGCTGCGCATCAATTGAATACCTCCATGAAGCGTGAGCTTGTGTACGTACTCGATGTAGCATCGAATCAACGGGGAATTACCTGGCAAGATGATAGGATGCTTTTCGCTGTACTCGAGTATTGCATTTTGTAAGCGACCTTTGACTCTAAGAAGCCCGGAATCGTCGATGAATGGCACGAGTCGTCGAAGATGACGTTTTTTTGGAAGCTGTTTCTTCTTGCGCAAGGCGTCGAGCTCTGCCCCAAATTTATCTTCCTGCATCACGTGGAAGATGGCGGTCTCAGCGGCGTCCAGTTCTTCGACTGTCGCAAGTCCTTTTAAGCAGTTTTTCTTATTTAATTTTGCGTTGAATCGCCATCTGTATATCCAAGCTACGATGCGCCACAATCTTTTGTAGTCTGAGTGTTTCGACAAAATTGTAACAAGACGTTCGTCGTCTTGCGTGTGCTGTGCGCGTGCGGAGACTGCGTGGGCTCGCAGGGTCTGCTCAGAATGTGGAGCTTGAGAGCTCGGGGTTGGCCACTGTCTTTCATGAGGTAACCAACTAGGTCCGTGCCACCACAGGTTTGCTGCTGCAAGCTCGGGAGGGCTTATTCCTCGAGAAGCTATATCAGCCGGGTTGTCTTCCGAGGGGACGTGCATCCAACGAGCTTGTGGTACGAGAGTGTTAATTTGACTCACGCGATTGGCTACAAAGGTGGGCCATTTTAATGGGTGGCCGCGCAGCCACGCAAGCGTCACTTGTGAATCGCTCCAAAGATTTACCGTGTGCGGCAGATGAGGCAACCCGTCGAGTAGGTGCTTGACCAGACGGGCCAAAAGCAAAGCTGCACACAGTTCCAGGCGGGGAAGCGTTTCTTCCTTTTTTGGCGCTACTTTTGATTTAGCAGTCAAAATAATCGCCGATGTGCCGGGAGTGACGGCATACACAACCACCCCGTAAGCTCTCTCCGAAGAATCTGCAAAGCCATGCAGTTGCCACTGAGTTTTCTCATGAACGTTCGTCCACCATGGTACCCTGATTAAGTTAATCAAGGGCAGTGCATCACGAAAGTCGACCCACCGATCCGCCAGCTCTTCTGGCGGCGTCGCATCCCAATCCGCACCGTGCAGCCACATATCCCGGAGTATAATCTTGGCTACGATGATTATAGGAGTAAGCCAGCCCAGCGGATCAAATAACTTCGCAGTCTCAGAGAGTACGCTGTGCTTTGTATAATTTTCCCTTGATGCAGAAAGATGGGCAATGAAGTTAAAGTAATCGGAGCAAGGCTGCCACCGAACGCCAAGTGTGGAGACGGAGTCTTCTGTATGCGTTGTGATAGATCGTTCGTTCGAGTCGTCGTTGTTGATCAATAGGTCTGGCGAGTTCGCTGACCATTTACCGAGCTTGAGCTGAGCGGACTTGAGTAGACTGATTAGTTGGTCCTTTACTATTAGTGCTTCTTCAATCGAGTCGGCGCCGGCAAACGCGTCGTCGACATATGTTTGCTGCCGAATGATCTGTGCGGCCTTGGGGTGTGTGGACTCGCCTTTGTGTGCTAGTTGCAGCATCGTGCGATTCGCCAGAAACGGTGCAGCAGCGGTGCTGTAGGTAACTGTGGTTAGACAAAAATCGTGCATTGGTTGTAGAGGGTCCGCTCTCCAAAAAATGTGTTGGTAGCGGAGGTCAGATTCGTGGACATCAAATTGCCGGAACATCTTGACGATGTCTGCCGTAAATGCGAATTTGAAGAATCTCCATCTGGTGAGAATGAGTGTTATGTCGCCTTGAAGTTTTGGTCCCGGAAGTAAGTAGTCGTTCAACGACTTGCCGTTGCTACCCTTTTGTGATGGGTTGAAGACCACTCGGAGTTTCTTCGAGTCCGGCTTCAAGACGCCATGATGTGGCATGTAATACTCTGCGTCTTGAATCTCTTCATTGGTGGCGAGGCGCATGTGTCCCATGGCTTCGTATTCTTCCATGAACTTTATATACGCACGATTTAATTCAGCATTGCGGGATCGCTGTTTTTCTGATCGTAGGAGATTGGCAGCAGCAATCGCGTGAGTGTCGGTTATAGGTTCGGGGGAGCGCAACGGCAGTCGAACAACATACCTTCCGTCCTCGCTACGACGGACGGTGTCGAGGTAGAGCTTCTCACAGAGCTGCTCTTCGGGAGTGAGAAATCTTGTGGCAGGTATCTCATCGATCTCCCAGAATCTTTGGAGTGCTTGACTGATAGATGGCTCGGTGCGTGTGTGGAAAGCTGTCACTGCTATCGGCGTATTTCCGTCAGTGAACCCAGTTGGGCCAGTCAGTAGCCACCCGAAGATCGACTGCTGCGCCGCAGGAGTCCCGTCAGGGCCTAGTCGTAGGTCTGGCCGAATGATATATGGAAACTTGTCTGCTCCCAGTAGCAGATCCACCTTGCGGGGCTTGCCATAGTGAGAATCTGCCAATTTTAGACCGTCAAGATGCGGGTAATTTGCCGACATGACTTGACGGCCGGGTAGTTTGCCGGTGATCTCATTTACAACGAGAGCCGGGACGTGAATGCTGCAAGGGCTTTCGAAGAAAGGGCTGACTGTGAACTGCACAATGGATCGGGCCGTCGTTTGAGCTTGAGCGCCGACTCCGATGACATTTGTCGAAATTCGAGACCTGCGCAGAGATAAATAATTAACAAGGCGTTCAGTTAAGAATGAGGCTTCAGCTGCAGGGTCGATGAGCGCTCGCACACTTCGGCTTTGGTCGGATTCCGATATTATTTTGACTTCTGCAGTTGCCAGCAAGACAGTTCTTCCGGCTTGAGCAGTATGCACCGAAACAGTGTCATTTTCATCGGCCGTCGATGATCCGTCGTGGCTATTGGTCCTGACTTGGTGGATTTACGAGTCTCGCTCTGCGACGACGATGATTGTGTTTGCTCGAGCGTTTGAAGTCTTCGCTCAAGAAAGCACAGCAGGTCTTTGTAGAAAGGGAAGTCATCTTTCCCTTCACGCAATACATTCCAAGCTTCTTTCGTTGAAATGTCCAATTTGCGTAGTAGGTAGTGTACTATGAAGTGACTCTTTTCTTCCTCAAAGCACCGCAAGTCGCGAAGAGCTTGCACCGACTCCTCGGCTTTGTCGATCAATGAAGCCAGGTCACGGGCATTGTACACAACCTAATTTCCAATGACTAACGGGATGAGGAACTCATTCTCTTTTACACTATTTATTACATCTTGATCATTTTCCGTAACGTCATCTATTTTGTTATGTGGCTGGGCTTAGGGTACATTACTTTCAACTGAACAAATAAATAAAATTCACGGAAAAAATGAAATCATTTTAATTTATGAGATAATCAATTAAAAATTATTATTATTTATATTTTCTATCACGTAACTTGCATCAATAACTTCTTGAGGTACATTAGTCGGTACGCTTATTTGTTCATAGTGAACAGTGGAACCGGTTCCAACTGCGATCGAACTAAATTGTTCCAATACACCTATTTTCGAAAAAAATCATTTTATAATAGAAAGTAATATTTTACTATCCTTCAATTTGCTGTTAATAATTAGACTCGAAGTGTCGATTCTCCGTAAGTCAACGCGGACGCGTAGGAGCGCATTCGACATATGTGTATATACCACATACAACCGTTTGCGGGCGTGTGTATGTTACGACACTCAAGCATTTGTGTGCGGGCATGTACACGCGGCGCGCGTATACGAACAGAAGACGATCTGTTGATGCCGTACACTCATCTCTGCTCGCAACGCAAGTCGCAACCGTTATAACCTGCGACAGCGCCCGTTTTACAATGTCTTTGTTTTTAAAACATATGTCATGTCGCGGGGGCTACATGAGCATTTTAAGTGTCAAATATAATAAAAGTTTTAAATAATATTAGGAATAGTTATTATGCAACGGGAGTTGCACTGGCCTTGCATGATTCTGTGCCAAGCCCAAGTAGCCCATAGCACTGGCAATCGTTGAATTTGTGTTAATCATATATTTATTTACTTTATTTACCTTTTATGTATAGTTTTGATTATCACTTTCATACATGCAAAACAGAATACTGTTCATTGCATGGTGGCAGTGACTTAATGATTTTATCTGTTATATATTTTTATAAATAAGTATTGTGACAGTCGTGTTACGCTGTCACAGGCCTCTCCCCTCTTCAGCACAAAGTCCCACTGTGATGGGACATAGACACGAAGATGTACCTGACGCAGCAGCCGCAGCGACGCGCGTGTATGTAAGTGTGTGTGTGCGAGAGAGAGTCCGCGTGTCATCGCACGCGGAATCGCCTGTCTCCTTCTTCCTTACGGAGCAAGGGCCGGCTAATTGGTCACGTGACCAATCAGAGCGTCTTGCGAGCGCGTGGAGACGTGGAGATACTCGGTGTTCGTGGATGAGTAAGCATCGTCCGCGTTGCTCCGAATTCGACCGTGTCGCGAGAGAATAATTACGACTGGACGCGGCAAGTGCGTGACGCGAGATTCGCACGACTTGCGCGGGCGTATATTCGACGCGGGTCGAGCGAGGACGAATCGGTGTATTCGCGAGAAGTATCTCCAACGAATAGGATTGTGAATAAGAATCACGTTATTTTCTGTTATTGCGACTTCGCGAACTGTGCAAACCAGCAGCAGCCCACACGAGCGAGAGGGTCAGCCAGCTGCGATTACAGCGAGCGGCCATTGACGGCATTCACCTACTGTAAGTACCTCTCGAGTACTCGACCTCTCCTGCGTGTGCAATCGCGTCTCAGTGTGATCGAGTGAGTGTGTCCGCGATTGCGCTGCTGCGTTCGTATTTGAAAGTTCATTCAATAAATACTCTATTATTTTACCATATTAATTCGCGAATTATTATTTCGGCAAAACTTTCCCGTTATTTTCATCCTAGGTTGGACCACGACGCCGCCGCGGTCGGTGCGAATTGTCGCACCGAATAACTGAGCCAGCCGGCGATCAGCGCGAGGACGAGCATCGCCTAGGATTACCCTGTGAATATCGTAGCGGTCACGGGAACCGTTACAGTATATATTTGAATTAGAGTAATAGAAATCATTTTGAAAAGAAGAAATAGAAATTACGTACTAATAAATAATATTATTTATTACTCACATTCTTAAACTTCTATACAGATATTTATACAGATATTATCTTATATATTAACGAGACTGAGCTAATTACATGCATTATCAATGCTGTTTTTAACAAAAGCTTTACGTGGGTGGTAGAAGCTACCAGTGGTTTAACATGATCCGAACGCGTAAATATGACATTAGTCACTCTCTTCCACCCATGTTCTTTATTTCATTCGTAATAAGCTTTAGTCGTTTGATTTTAAAATTATAAAAGTTAATTATTATTTATCTTAAAATGTATCAATGCTATGAACTGCTCAGCACTTCAAGAATAAAACGAATTTTCAAAATTTATTGCATCATGAGCATGATTTTAAAATTAAGGCTGAGTGGCATTTCTTTGCATCTTCTCATGGAAAAGGAGGTTGCGATGGAATCGGAGCTAATTTGAAACGGGGAGCAAAAAGGGCAAGTTTGCAGGCAAATTCAAAAAATCGCATTCTTTCAGCTGAAAGTTTATATAATTGGGCGAAAAAATACTGTAGAGAGACGAATGTTCTTTTTAGCAGTAAAGACAGCTATGAACAAACGGTCTTACAGTTAAAATCAAGGCTAGAGGGTTGTAAACTTATTCCAGGTACAATGCAATACCACGCGTTTATTCCTATAAATAATAAGTCATTTAGTTTGAAATATACATCTCTATCTTCTAGTAGCATTACTTTTCCAAAAATAAAAATAGAAAAGATAATAAGTAACCCCGTGAAAAAAGCTGTTAAACGAAAAAGACCGTCAGAAGATCCCTCATAAGAATCTGTTTCGTCAGTAATAAAAACATTTGAATTCTCGATTTTTCCGATGAAAATGGAAAATTTCGGAAAATTCGATAGCACCATTGGAAAGGTGAAAAAAAACTACATCGAAAACATATTTTTGTTAAATTTTTTTAGATAAATTGGTTACTGTTATTGGCACAAAACGAGAACGTAGCGGCTACGGCGCGCGCTGGCCGCAGCCGGGCGGTCGAGCGCCGACTATAACCTCTCTTGTAGCTCGAAATTTTCAGTTGTTGCACACGCTGAAAAATAGTGTTTTCGACGTAAAAAGACATGCTCTTTCGATTGGAAACATGAAAAAGGGGGGAAAAACGTTGTTTTTTGAGATAATCAACTTTGAAATATATTTTTCAGTTTTTTTTCCGGGAAAATGGAAAATTTCGGAAAATTGGACCCCACCATCGGAAAGCTGAGGTAATTTCCCATCGAAAACCTACGTCACATATTTTGTCTAAGGATGTTTAGTGGCTTTTCTGGCGAGTTAGAAATTGAGTGATTTTGCTTAAAAAGGCCGCTCGGCAGGGTCGCTAGGACAGTTCAGGAATTTTGCCCCATATGTGTGGCGGAGTTTTATGATGTACATTGTGACGAAGCACATGCCTGCGAGCTCAAACGTCGCGCCTGACCGAGGGCAGCCCGTACACCGGCACCACGCGAGATCTCTTCGTCGCGAGAATGCACGAGTGAATGATTTCGCGTATTGTTCTCGTAGCCTAGGTTTCAGGCCAAGAAGAAGATGAGCAGAGCAGACCGAGGACGCAACACCGACGCAACGAGAACAAGCCGCACTTCGAGATTCTACGAGCCTAGGCCGAGCAGAAGCACGCAGGCCGCACAAGAGCAGTAGCCGAGTCACGTGACTACTGCGCAATCTACTGCGCCGCAGACCACGCCCCGCAAGGCAGATTAGCACGAGCCAAGCAAGTGTGTGCACGTGCGAAGCCAACAGAGTAAAAGTTAGTTGTTTTTCGCTGTGTTTTAGTTGTTTTACGATAACAACAGTAGTTCGCGACAGTGCCAGTTCGGTGTTAAAGAACTCGCCGACAAGTTAAAGTTGGTCGGAGTGCGAGTGTCGTGCGAGAAGCACAGAGTGAGTGCCAAGGACGACCGCCAAGAAAGTAAGGCTAGTTTTGCCTCGAGACACGCGGTGCCGATACGAACTCGAAAGCCACCTAGGCCAAGAAACAGGAATTTTGCCACGGAGTGCAGGCGACGGAGGCCACGACAGCAAAGGAGTTTGCCAGGGCAACATCTACTGAAGAGCCGGCGAAGAGGTTAGCTTTAAGATTATTTAGGTGGTCGGTCGCTTGGCCGTGTGCACGATTGCGTCATCGTGCTCGGGCGTGTATCGAGATTGTGTGTGTGCGTGTGAGTGTTACCGCAGCGGCGGCAAGCTCAGTGTGTGTGTGTGCGAATCGACGGCACACTGCCGTGTTGCATAATTAGGATAACACGCAGGTGTACGGCGCGGCGTAGACGCGGTCTCGCGGAGTTAGCCACGTGGCTACAGGTCGACGAGCGAAGCACGCGCGCGTCGGCCGAGCTCGTTCGACCACGCGTACGTAGCGACGGCCATTTTGGCCAAGTAAAATAAGAGAGTCACGACGTAACCTATTGCTGCGGGGCAAAGGTTTGGCCACGGAAGGCAAACAAGAACGCCACCAGCGCACCTGGTGGCCAATGTTAAAAGTGAAATAAAGTGACTAGATTTTTGAAATTGAATCTCGCGAGTCATTATTAATTCGTTATTTTGTTGTAAATTCCCTAGACTCCCTCTTTTCAGCGCGTAGAGCAATATTGCAAAATTACAAGGATTTTCGCGGAGTTCGCGACAAATTGAGATTTCCTCGGCCGATTCGAAAGGTGAGTCGCTGGGGCCAACAGCTCGGCCCAAACTCGGCAGAAGGCCCAGAACCTCCTCGGAGAAATCAGCGTGAGTACAAGAGGTCCCACATAATAAAATTCTTGTCGACGGCATTTGAGCTGGACCTTATTTGATAAGGCCAATTTGCAGCGTCGCAACATCTTTGTACAATGTTCATCTCCTCAATACCGCACAGGAGTGGGGCTATGTAGCCCACCGGCGAGTGTTCGCTAGCGAGTTCGCTGATTTTGCTTAGACAACGCGCAGAGCACACATTACTTCTTAATTGCTTATCTATAACTACTCTAATTAACATTTATATATTATATTTTATACTTATGGTTCAAAATAATACGTTTTTACGAAACCGTACGCTCGTATGTCACCGATCTTGAAGCGATTTTAGTATGTTATAGTACATGGTAAAAAGGTCCCAAAAAAAATTTTGGATAAAAAAATTTGAGGTTATATATTTTGATAAAAAAAACAGGAAAAAAATTTTTCCAGATTTTTGAGGCTCCGTATCGTCCTAAAAAAATTATTTTCGTCAAAAAAGGAGTTTTTGGCTTCAAAAGGTGCGTTCACATCTCTGAAAAAATTTGAAATAATTTGAGGTTAATTTTTCTAATGTAATAAAAAAGTGAAAAAATTTTCTAAAAGATTATTGCATTCTAAGGCCGTATATGAATTTTTAAAATTTTTAATGATTTTTTCTGACGGCCTGAAGCACTCGAAAAATCTGAAAAAATTCAAGGTTGTTAAAAATGTTAAAAAATATTTTTTTGGAATTTTTTCAGATTTTTTAATTACTTCAGGGCTTCACAATAAATATGAATGGAAAATAGACGTTTATACCGGAAGTGGGGGTAGGAGGGGGGAGGGGATCTAAAATTTTGTTTTTAGGACCTTTTTACCATCTACTATAATATACAAGAAGCACGTCAAGATCGGTGACATACGTGC